ATCTCTGTCTGAGGCTTTTAGGGGCCAGAAAACGGAGTTAGTGTTTCAGGAAGGAGATTGTTTCCTAAATTAGAGGAGAAAACGTTGAAGAAACATCAAAAGCTGGGAAATAGCACTTAGGGACGTGGTTTAGTGGTGACTTTAGCAGTGCTGTGGTTGGACTTGGTGATCTTAAAGGTCTTTTCCAACCTGAATGATTTCGGTGTGGAGCTGTAGGAACCCTTTCTACATGACCAGAGGTGCTGGATGAGACTTTGCATTGAGTACAAGCTGGAGCTGGAGCAGGTGTGAGCTGCCCTGGTGCCTGGGGCCCTGGCTCCAGAGACAGGGGCTGCAGGAGCAGCTACCAAATTCCCTTGGCTTGCAGCAGGAGCTTGTAGCCTGCCTGGTGCTTGGGGCAGAACAGCTGGAGTGGGAGTCCTTGGTTTAAAGGAAGCTTGGACAGGTGTCTGTAGGTAATCTGCAAGGTCAAGCAAGGAGCTGCTTTGCCTGTGCTTTGGTTTGTGCTAGGCTAGAGGTGGGAGCCTTTACTGAGGCTTCACGGTGCCAAATGCTGTCCAAAAGGAAGGATCCCTTCCTGTTTCTGCCTGCTCTTCAGCTCTGGAAGACTCTGTTCCTGTGCATGTTGCTGAGACAGCTCCACTCAGGGTGTGTTCCAGGGAATAGGTGCATTTATTGCCTGGGTTTGTCTTCTCCAGAGCCAAGCAAATGCCTGTGCAAACTGTCTGATCCTTGTCACTACCTGCAGCTGCTTTGGGTCTGCCCCTGTGCCAGGTCACCTGTCACCTGCACAGGCCTTCAGCCACTGAGGAGCCACTTCAGCCAGGCTGGGAGTGTTTAGGCAGTGCCATGAGGTGCTGGAGGAAGGGCTGTGTGTGCTTCTGCTGGGAGTGTGTGGTCCTGTCTGCAAATGGAAGCGATTATGGTGGAGAGAAAGGAATTAAATCTCTTTTCTAGCGTTTAAAAATGATTTATTTAATGCAGAGCCTCAATTTAACTGTGTTGTGTTTTCCAGCATGCAAGTAAAGACCCCAAAGATGGGAGAGACAGCAGAGATCAAAAAGAATCCAAGGAGGAAGGCAACAAAACCATCCTGGAGTTTGGGAAGCCGCTGCCCTTGCCCTCTCTCCCAGGACACCTGCACCAGTCACTACCTCAGAACCAGAGCTATGTGGCCACCACGAAGTCGCAGACAGGTAAAAAGGACAGAGCTGGAATCCCTGGCAGCACCCACTTCCCAAACCTGAGATGAGGAGGTTAACAAGGACTGAAACCTGTTAGTACCTTTTTCCCACTGAGTCTCCTTCAGGCTTCCCTTTGCTGCTGCCACAGACCTTGTCTGACAGAGTTACCTATTCACTCTTTGCAAGTGCCCTGCAAATGTGTTGCTCCCTTCAGGGTGTTGGACAGGGGACATTCTTGCAGTCCCCTGTTGGAGTCCCCTCCCAAGAGAAGCTCAAGTGAAAGGAGCAGCTCCCATGCAGTCCTTCCTGCACCACCTTGTTTCCTGGGATGCAGGACCCTCCCAGACAGACAGATGTGCTCTGTCAGGCACCACCACACCAAGGATCTCTCCTCTGCTAGAAGTGTTTGTTAGAGAAGACACTTCAATCCATTTTTGCTGCATGATACTCTGAAGAGGTTTCTATCAGTTCTGAAGGGCTTTGAATATCACCACAACTGCTTACCAAGAACTACAGCCTTGTCAATTGCTTTGTAATTGTAATGTAAAAGTCGCCTCGTAATTGCCTTGTTAATTGGCTTAACATAATTTTTTGAGAGGTGTCCTCATCGATTTTTGGTGGAATTTCATCATAGTGGGAGAGGAAGAAATGCTTTCAAGGAACAACTGCAAGCACTAACGCTGTTCCTGAGAGTTCACCAAGCATCCTGCTGCTGTGTATTCACCAGATAGCATCAGGCAGGGAGGGGTGGTGTCTGATTGGATTAGAAGGCCAGGGGGGAGACTTAACAAATTAAGACACAATCAAAGTAGTGAAAGGAATCAAACAAACTCCATAGTAGGTGTGAAATGAGGTTAAATGGCAAACGGCTCTTTATTTAGGTTACCTTTTCCCTGTGTGTTCTTCAGTTATTGTCCCATTGCTTTCATTGTCAGTTGGTATTATTAGCCTTGCAGTGTCTATTTGTGCAAGTTGGATTCGATTCAGCCTCCTACGACAGCAGCAGCACTGCCAAACACAGCCTAATTTAGGGATTTGATGCTGTGGCTGGTGGTGGAGGGGCCAGAAGGAGTGTGGAGAGGATAGTCAGAATTTGGGTGGGTTTGCAGCACTGGCAGAAAGCTGTTTGTGTGTTTGTGTCAGCTTTTGGTTGGCTTGTAAATAAATTAGTTGGGTGTTGGAAACCTTGTTCAAAGGTTATGATCTGAAGTGTGATTTCACAAAATCCCAGACTGGGTTGGGTTGGAACAACCTTAAAGGTCATCCAGTCCCACCCCCTGCCATGGGCAGGGACACCTTCCACTAGCCCAGGTTGCTCCAATCCCCATCCAACCTGGTCTGGAACACTCCCAGGGATGGAGTAGCCACAGCTCCTCTGGGCAACCTGTGCTAGTGTCTCAGCACCTCCCAGGGAAGGATTTCTCCCTAATATCTCGTTCAGCCCCACTCTCCTTCAGCCCCAAATGCTCAGGACTGTGTGCCTGCACTGGTACAATGTCCACTCTATCCCTTCTTCTTTCCATTCCTGAGCCATCTTTGAGTCTCTTTTGTTTCTCTCTTCCAGCTGCTGCAGTATCTCGGAAGAAGAAGCGGAGAATGGGAACCTATAGCCTGGTTCCCAAGAAAAAGACCAAAGTGTTAAAACAGAGAACAGTGATTGAGATGTTTAAGGGCATAACTCATTCCTCTGCAGGTGCCAAGGTAAGGGCAGCACTGAGCCCATTGGACATGTTTGATCTCACATACACATCCCTTGTCATGACACACCAGCCCCACGGAGAGGGACAGGAACGTGTTGGCTTGTTGAGGTCAACATCTTCCCTTCTGGGTCTACATCTTCTTTCTGGCAGCAGTATTCTGTAGCAGCATTGCTGCTTTAGAAATGGCTTTTTGGGAGTGGCTGCTCAGATAGCAGCTCTTAAACAAAGCTTTTACTGTCAGTGTTCCCCTTCTGTCTCGGGGAACGGGAGAGATTTCAAGCATGCCCCAGGTGGTAGCATTTTTGTTTCAAGGTAACTGTGTCATGCTGCTGCTTGAGGCTGTACAGCAAAACACTTGGTTACTTAGAAAGGTTTAGATACGGACTCACTCCTGATCAAATTCTGCTTTTGCTGCAAGCCATGCCCTGAAGTTTTTGGTCTTAGAATTCAAGGAGAACAGTTTTAGGCTTTCATGGAGTGGTATGAAAATCCCTCTGTGATTTAACTTCCCTTTCCATTCCCTAGAAACCTTCTTGCACCCGTGGAGCTGCCCCTCCATGTTTGAGTTAGCCTCTCCTCCCCCTAATGCCTTGTTTAGCCACGTGAGCCTGGAATGACTCCTCGTGGCTCTTCAGTGCCCACATCCAACAGGGTGAGGTGTCACATGGCAGGTCTTCAGGCTGCCTTTGCTGGGAGCACTGATGAGCTCTGGAGGGACACACAGCCAGCTTTCCCCTGGCAGCTTCAGTGCTCCCAGCACAGAGGTGGCATGGGATGGATCTTGCTGCTTTGTCCTGGGAATTGATGTTGTCTTTGTGGCTCATGTGCTTGGACAACTTTCAGAGTGACAAGGACCTGGGTGATGCCAGCCCTCATGTGAATGGGGAAAGCATAGATGTAGACTCTGAAGAGGAAGACTCTGATGAGTTGGAAGAGGAGGATGACCATGGAGCAGAACAGGCAGCTGTGTTTCCCATGGATGATAACAGGACCTCGAAAGACAGCGCGTCCGACGCAGACAACGCCAGAAAGGTAACTCACATGCCCTGAGCAGGACCTGAGGAGTGGGATGGGACACTTGGGGTAGGAAGGACATGAGTTGAGGCAGTTTCTAGGTTTTTTCCACCTGCAAGATGACAGAAATCTCAGCAGTGGTAGTGAGGCTCTTGGGTGACTGTTTCCTGATTCCTGTTGCACCTGTGAGGGTCTCCTCACCTACCCCCAGTTTCAGCCTTCCTACATAGGTCTGATCCACTCTGCAGAACCCCCAGCACGTTTAGATCTGGGATTCACTGAACCAACAAGAGACATCTTCCTCATTTTGCTGGTAACAGTCTGGAAATGCAATCAAATTGGCTTAGTTCGTTTTTCCCCCCAAATCCTGATACACAGTATAGACACGAGTCTGGGTTTGGACTATCAAAAAAGTCAAAATTTGGTTGGAAAACTTTATTCTGGAGTCAGTTTTTTCCCCCTGTACCATGCCCATGGATGTTTCATGATGTGATTGGAACACACTGAGCTTTAGCCTTGTTGCTCCTGTCCTTAGTGCATGTGCAGGCTGGGGCTGGGTGCTGGGTGCCTCAGGATGGTGGGGGGGTGCTCTGCTGGGTGCTGGGTGCCTCAGGATGGTGAGAGGATGCTCTGCTGGGTGTGGGCACAGCAGAATGGTGGGGAGATGCCCTGCTTTGAGAGACCTGACCTGACTGACTCGTTCTGTTCTTGGGCAAATGGTGGCTGCAGATAGATGATGGCGAGTCTGAGGAGGAACAAGAGTCTGTAGAGTCCGGGGAGGAGGAGGAGGATGGAGATGAGTCTGACCTGGTAAGCTGGGCTGCTAAATGTGTCTTTCAGCCTGTGGCCTGTTGATAATAATTTCCCCTTTGCACTGCTGCCAGAAAGAGAGAGAGCAAAGCTGTGCAGTTTCATGTCTCCTTGACAAAACTCACTCTCTGAAACCACCCACGCGTGGTGTACTGTTTTCCACAAGGTGCTTAACCCTGATCTGTGGTACAATTAATTGCTTTCTGATGCTAACTAATGGGCTTTTGTTTTTTTCAACAAGGTGTTGACTGCTTTTAATCATTGGAATATTAGTGGAAGTATTTAAGGGTGCTTTAAATTCTTCTGTTGCACAGTTGGCAGTGATAGGAGCCAGCAATGCTTTCTTACCAACCTGAAGCTCTGCAGGGCTTTTTGGAGCTCAGGTGGAGTTGTTCCCAAATCCAGCCCTGCCCACAGCCTAAATCCACATTGATCTGACATCCACCTCACTGTACCAGATGAACAGCTCTTATCAGGGAGACTTAGGAGACAGTCACACACACTCTCCCTGAGAGGTCTAGTGTGAGGTCAAGACTTTCAGCAGCTGCTGGGGATTTCTGCTTTTTATTTTTAGATGGTTGGTGAAGAGAACCTGATGATTTTTTGTAGTGAAATTGTTCATTGATTGTCTCTATCCCCTGTAGCAAAATTGTTCATTGATTGTCTCTATCCCCCACCCTCCCCTTCACTTAAAAACTTTGCTCCCTTTCCACAGCCTCTCAAGTTGAGGAGCCAGCAATTAAGGCACCCCAACTCTTCAGTCACCTTGAGAAAATTCTTGACTTCATTTTCTTGATGTTTTGTGCTCAAGGTAGAATCACATACACAAAATACACCAAGGGAATCATTGAAGCTCTTTAGGGTCTTGTTTCTCATGCCCTGACACTCCAGGAGCCAGAGAGGATGGAGCAGCAGGGGCTGTGCAGCCTGTCCCTTTCTTTGAGTAGTTGAGGCCAGTCTGTAGTGTTAGCCCAACCCAAGGATTGACTCGCTCACATCCTAACTCCCAAGTCGTATCTCCACATCCTCCATGGTGGTTTGTGCCCTGGTGAGTCAGTCAGTTCCCCAGACAGGGATTGGCTCCAACACAAACCTCTCGGGGACAGTTGGGGCAGTGTAGACATTCCAGAGAGCCAGGGCTCAGCACCACGTTTGTGTGTCTTCCCTCACTGTGAGAACAGGGCATGGGGCAGCATTAGCTGCTTCTAGGGCCTGATCCAGCTGCTGTTAGTGGTAGAAGGTAGTGGTTTCTCCTAGGCTTTGGTGGGAACTAGATAAGCATCAGGAACTGACAGTTTCACTTTGAACATGAGTTTTCTGATTAATGCATTGAAGGCTGCCTGACAGGGTTGGTTCCCCACTCTGATTTTGACTTTGAAACCCACCCTAGACAAGAGTATTGCTAAACCTAAACACAAGTTCTGTTTAGATTCATACATGTGTCTGCATATTTGCTGCATGCTTAGTCTGTGCTACCCCATGCCAGGCTCGGGGAGGGGGTTGCTCTGCCACTGTACAGTTCAATTCCCCAGGGTTCATCCCAGCCCTGTCAGTTGACTCCTCAGGTGCAAGATGGGTTTTTGGTTGGCATTTTCTAGCCTAACTGTGGAGCAATGTGAACATTTTAGTTTGAAAACCTCACTGCCAGAGCTCAAGGAGTGCTTGGCCAGTGCTCTCAGGCACGTGGTGGGATTGTTGGGGTGTCCTGTGCGGGGCAGGAGTTGGACTTCGATGGACCTGTGCTCCAGCCCCTTCCAACTCAGGATGTGATTCTACAATCTGGGGAGAAGCTAGAGGTGTGCATGTGCATCCTTGCAGTGCTATGCTTGGCTCCTCCTGCAATGAGCATGGTGTGAGGGCCTCCATGGAAGGGAAAGTGCAGCCTGCACTACTGAAATGACAGGAAATCCACCCACACGTGTGCCTGGGTTTCCTTTTCGCCTCTATAAAGACATCTTAGCACCCTTTGGTTTCAAACCCCCAGTCTTTAAGGCCTTTTAGCACCACTAGAGCTGTGTGAAGGTTCTCTCACACGGGCACAAAGCACTGCTGGGACGCTGATGCCAACATGCCTGACATGCATGTGGCCTCTCTGGTTATTCAGAGCTCGGAGTCCAGTGTCAAGAAGAAGCTGCTGAAGAGGAAAGGGAAGACAGACAGTCCCTGGCTGAAACCCACCCGCAAGAGGAGACGGAGGAATAAAAAGAAACAAGCCAGTGTGCTAGGTAACTATTGTGTTTTCTTCCTTAGCTACTCCCAAATTAGCCTTCCAGGTGGAGGGGGAAGGACCTGAGTCCTCTCTGTCTGCAGAGCTCACTCTTCCTTCCCTATGTGATAAACCAGGGTGTGAACTTGCCCCTCACTGATAGGAGTTGCTGGTGGCACTTAACAGCAGAAGACATATGGATGGTGTGGCTTGTCCTTGGCATGGCAGAGGGATGTTGTCTTGTTCATGTTCCCTTTATTTTAGAGTATCCAAAAAAGGCCTCGTGGGGGCTCATGAAAGGGAGGAAGAGGGACTTTTTATATGGGCAGATAGTGCCAGGGCAAGGGGCAATGGTTTTAAACTGACAGGGCAGGGTTGGATTGGGTATTAGGAAGAAATTCTTCGAGGGTGGTGGGGCATTGGCACAGGTTGCCCAAAGAAGCTGTGACTGCCCCATTCCTGGAAGTGTTCCAGGCCAGGCTGGATGGGGCTTGGACCAACCTGGGCTAGTGGAAGGTGTCCCTGCCCATGGCAGGGGGTGGAATGAGATGAGCTTTAAGGCCCCTTCCAACCCAAACCAGTCTGTGATTCTGTGGTTGTATGACTCATGCCCATGTGGACTCCTGTCCCATGAGCTCAGGGAGCATGTTTAGGTGCTGAAGGGAAAGAAAGAACCACCCAAGAGTGGTGGTGCTCAGTTGCTTTTGTTGGATGTTTGTGCAGCTGAATATGACTCATGCCCATGTGGACTCCTGTCCCATGAGCTCAGGGAGCTTTTGTTGGATGTTTGTGCAGCTGAATGAAATGTGCAGGTTGGATTTGCTCATTCTGAAAGCACCTCAGTTTGTAAGGAGCTGTCTCCAGCCCATCTCACAGTGTGGGAGTCATTCAGGTGGTCTTGTTTGAGCTGTTACCCAGCACTCAAAAGAAGGTTTCAGTGTCCTCTCTGTCTGCTGAAAGCTCTGGTGGGAGAGCCAGGAGTGCAGTGTTACAATGTGGGTAAAACCCAGTGGATAATCTCTGAAGTGCAACTGTGCCTTCAGCCTCATTACTAAGGTTTCACACATCCATTGCCATCAAAGGCTTTATTTTTCTGGGCTTGCTGATTCAATGCAAACAGCTCAGTTTTTGTCAGCAGGTTGTGGCTACTTGTAAGTTAATTGGCCATGTTTCAACCTCTGCTCTGTGCCTGGGGTCTGCTGGTCATCTGGCTTGTTCCTCTTCCTCCCGAGGTGAAGTAGGGACCATTGCTGCCTTTGACAGCAGATTCTTCATTTCAGATTCAGGCTGGCTTTTTGCCTCTTCAGTAAAGGTGGCAGCTAGTCTTCCAGGGTAACCAAACTCTCTTGGCCAGGCTGGACTGGGAGAAGCAAACTAGGGGACAAAACCAAGGTTGAAGAGATTGACAATTCCCGCTCAGGTTCCGAGGGGTCCCCACACAATCTCTTCCCAGCACCAGCTTTGTTCACTTAGAGCCAGAACTTGGCTTTTATGTTTTTCCCTTCCCATGAAGCTGAATGTCATCTGTCTCTCCTCTTCACGAGGTACATGATGGCTCTGCCTGGCCAGAGTGTCCCTGAGCCCGGAGCAGCAGGTCGGAGGCAGGAGATTGCTTTGAGCCCTGGTTCATCCCTTCCTTGTGCCATTGCAGCTCTTGCTGCTGATGCAGCACAGCAGAGATGCAGAGGTGTCTTGCAGAGGCAGAACTTGTCTCATTTATTCTTCTCTTTCTGTTGTGACCTGCCTGAGTGGAAGTGGAAGATGTGTCTGACCAGCCGGGGAAGGGACCCAGCGACCTGCCGTGCCATGTATGCCCAGATGTTGTGTTCTCTGTGCGCCTGCACACCTCGTGCCCATGGCCCCACACCCGCGGGGTGGGTTGTACTGGTGGGGTCTGTCGGGCCGTGTCGATTCGCCTGTTCTCATCCAGGTGCCGAAGCCTATAAAGCATCGCTGGGCGGCAGGGACGGCCAGGAGAACAGCATGGAGTACATGGAGGTGTCCCTGGATTCCCTAGATCTCCGAGTGAAGGGGATCCTCTCCTCGCCGGCGGGAGGTGAGTGCTGGGGCCGGGTTTGGGATGGGGATGGGGTTGGGGTGGGATGGGGT